GTTTAGCGGTAGGCGAAACCAATGTTCCTTCAATCTGGAAGTAAACATATATCCATATGGACTCAAACGGTGTGGAGGTGATGAAAGAACTACTTTTCGGATGCCATCCATCATCTTCATGTTCATCTCGCCCCGTCTGATTCGTCGACCGTATTGGAGCGCCTTGAACGATGTAATTGACTTAAACTCTCCACAGGACATTATAGGAATTTTAGGAATCCGATTTACCCCTTCTACAAATTCATAAGCTGCTCTGCTGTTTACCTTCGCGCGCAATTTGTTTTCCTTCGAAGGCTTCTTGTATTTGACCTGAAATTATTCAAGTAATTTCATGTTTGTTCTTTGCACTGGGTAGCATTTTTTAGCTTTTCGGGCCCACGCCTCCTGTAAAAGACGCTCCATCTACCTGGTCGATCCTGCCATTGTAATCTGTAGAATGAAGCATAATCTCATCTAATTTCGTGGCCTCGTCCTTGGTCAATCCACTGAAAATCTCGAACAGCTTGTGGATGTCAACTGTAAAAGCGGACAGTCTCGCTGAGGTGAGATAGTTAGCCTTGTTATTGTACTGCGACGTACCTTCTGCACAAAAACTAAACGATGAGAGCAGAAGCACCAGAATTATAGAACGCATTCCTTCCGATTGATATCGATTGCAAACTGTAATGAATAACTTCCTTGTTCACGTCTATGCCTCGTTTTATTAGGTTGTCACAACATTTCTGAGACACGTGGTACTTTTTGATTTAATTACTTTTTTGTTTATATATAAACCAGTTTAGCTCCGCACGCAACCGCGCGCATCAAATGGTGGGCTTTAGTGAAACTGGACAACTTGCAGAATATTAGGTCACGTGTCTGAGAAACTAACAGTGAAACTGTTAGTGATAATAAGTGACCTGGACTCTCTGTTTTGGAAGATGTGTTACATGATGTCTAAAGGTTGTCCAGTTTTGCTGAAGATTGTCGCGTAATGCGCGCAGTAGCATGCGGAATGAAAATGGTACTTATCATGACTTCGTAAACATTTAGCATTGATATCGAGCTCGGATGATTTAGCGGTTTATAGAATTCCACAGCGAAGAGATTACGAAGTTATAGATTCTGTGTGCTCATAGTGGAAGTGAAGATGCTGAATAATGCCCTAGTAGCGAAAAAAGCAAAGAAATCCGTCAAAAACGCGCAAAATGGGACCACTTCCTCTGCCCGTTGACCTCCGATAATGGACGAGTTGGCAACCAACTAAGAGGTCGTCGGCACACTCGTTAAACCATAGCTACCATCATACCACCAGAGATCATACCTTGATTGACAAAGCATTCCATGAGAAAGTATTGGACACGCGCTCGAAGTGGCACACCTTATCAGAATGATAATCGAACAGCGATCTGCTGAGGGGCGGAGCACAGGCGGAGGCGGAGCTCAGAAAGGATTGGCAGCCCCAGGGCGCTGCAACGAGCGCACCTTTAGTCACAAAAAGGCCACATCTCGATTCCTTTGGGCTCTAGCTACTGCTTGAAGTGCTGCTCGTTCTTCCATGCTGCACAGAAATTTTATCGTAATTTCTCGCTTTAAGCGTTCATTGATTGCTTTCCGACATTTGTAAGTATCGTTGTTCAATTGTGTAAATTATTTAGCCAATCAATCAGACTGACCGAGATGCTTTGATGGAATTTGGAAATATGATTTATTCGCTATTAGTTCCGGTCCAGATAGTGAAGCAGCTCAACTTCCTATACTTCTTTAGATGAAGGGAGAGGAATGGAACATATTCCCGTGCTAAGAATCTGGGGCTACTGAGTGCTACTGAGTACAGAATCTGGTGCAACTGAGTGCTCGCAAATCGTGTGTGACCGTCCCGCCCTCCAGGCAACGTGCTAGGAGCTCAAATTTATTGTCACGAAAGGCTGTAACGAAAGTTAGCGGTGCTCAAAATTCTAACTTCCTTATCAACCGTTATTGCTTCTTATCGTTTTGATCACCCACTATCCTTCCCCTCCCATCCCCTATACCACATGTGAGAGCCAAGGTTCCCATGTCAGCGCGAGGCTGCAACCACATATCATACATGAGTGCAAACTCTCCACCGTCGACGCGAACGGCGTAACGAAATTGGTGACATCAACATTTCGACGTCCGTTATCAGCTCCTATCAGTAGCTATCACTTCCCGCCACCTACTATCAGTGTTCGCACACACACGCACATATCACACACAAACCGCTCAGCCGCTTATATTATCCTACTATATATAATCGGCTAAGCGGTTGTGTGTGTGTGTGTGTGTGTGTGTGTGTGTGTGTGTGTGTGTGTGTGTGTGTGTGTGTGTGTGTGTGTGTGTGTGTGTGTGTGACCGGAAATTCATAACTTCGCTGTGTGTGTGTGTGACCGGAAATTCATAACTTCGCTCCCTTTGGACCAAGAGCGCTCAAACTTCTAGGATATACGGGGGCCGGGCGTGAACACTGATAGTGGGTGGCGGGAAGTGATAGCTACTGATAGAAGCTGATAACGGACGCCGAAATGTTGATGTCACCAATTGCGTTACACCGTTCGTTCGCGTTGATGGTGGAAAGTTTGCACTCATATATGATATGTGGGGTGAGGCGGGGACCAAGAAGTTGAGTGAACGAATGTGGTAGCAACTGATAAGAACTGATAAGGGGCGTAAAAGTGTGGATACCACCAGTTTCGTTGCGGCCCTCGCGGTGACATTGAAACCTTGGCTTTCACATGTGGTATAAGGAATGGGACGGGAACAAGGTGGCGAGGATTGAATGTGGGTGACAGAAAGTGGTATGAGCGGCAACTGTACTGATAAAAGTAGCGAAATTGAGCGTGCACTCAGTTAAACTAAACCAGGTCCCTAGCACGTGAATATGTTCCATTCCTACCTTTCATCTAAAGAAGCAAAGAAAGTTGAGCTGCTCAACTATCTGGACTTGGACTAATAGCGAATAAAATCATATTTCCAATTTCCATCATAGCTCGGTTAGATGCTGATTGATTGGTTATATTTCACTTACACACCGATTCTTCAATTGTGGAAATTCTATAAACCGCTAAATCGCCCGAGCTCGATATCAATGCTAAATGTTTACGAAGTCATGATAAGTACCATTTTCATTCCGCATGCTACTGCGCGCATTACGCGACAATCTTCAGCAAATTGGACAACCTTTGAAATTCATGTGACACATCTTCCAAAACATCTTACTGTTAGTTTCTCAGCCACGTGACCTAATATTCTGCAAGTTGTCCAGTTTCACTAAGCCCGCCATTTGATGCGCGCGGTTGCGTGCGGAGCTAAACTGGTAAATAAACAGTACAGTATACACCATCATTTAGCAACATATCACCAAAGCGAGGGTATGTGTTCAATCTCTCTTTCTCAGAATTCCAATAGGTTTTGATCGGAGATATGTTGGATTTCGGTTCTGACATCATGGTGATTAGAGATTTCCCTTTCAAAAGTGGAACTAGGGAGGGAAGCCTATGCTCATTCGTTGGCACGAGGTTACGGCTACACTAATCGTTCGCCCAAGAGTCCTTAAATTTTTCATGAACTTTCTTCGTAAGGTGGGGTCAAACGATCTCATGAAAAGACAGACTCTATCTTGCTTTTCGTTCGAAAACGCGTCGTCATTAGGCTGTCGCTGAACCCGTTATTATCAGATGCTGGTTCTTTCCGTAGGCACTCTCATATTCTGCCAACAGCTCGGCAGGTTCGAATTGGGAGTATGACAGACTTTTGCTGTCAGAAAGAGCTAGGATGACGGTTAACCCCTATCGAAAAAATTTCTTTAGCGACACGCCCGCCAAGTGGATTTGATACACCCCCTTTCACATCGACCGCCAACATACGTCTCATAACTAAATATTTTAATCAAGACTCATACCACTCAAACCCATCAAACCGCTGGAGGAGTATAATGGCTACTGTTCTGTAACTGTAAAACTCTCCCTACCACACTGCGTGCAACAATATATCGCACCCCGTAGAAAATTTTGTTTATTCGAAACGAGCCGAAACTTTTTGATTGCATTTGCCTAAATGCTATAAGGTTTAAGGATTGACAAAAGTATATATCGTGGTATTTAATAGTCCATTACAACTTCCCCAAAGATTATTGACAACAATTTTTCACCTTTTGACGGTGCCATCATAATTATACAGATTGAGACGCTATGTGTTTGGATTAGAAAAGAAAACGTAAGTCTCACGCCCTCATCTGATAATGACGTGACGCGTCTTCTTCTCATGTAAACTTGAACCTGGAATCATACTTACGAATATCAGCTCAAGACAGCTGATTAGCGAGTAGAGCGGTAATATTATTCCCCTCCTTTTAATGACTTCTGAAGCAACTGACATTGTCATACCTTTCCCATTGCGAAATCTTACGCGTTAGCACACCCCTAGTATTAGTGTACTCGATTATATCGTTAGGTTACATTCAGCAAAATGCCCCGACAACGATCAGGAAAGCGTTGATTTTTGTGTTTAGCGTCTCGCGACACACAAGTGGTGTCACTTCTGCCAAAGAAGCGCCAGTTTGAGTGCTCCGCAACTGCTTTCTCTTCAATTAAATACAGGATCCTGACATCTAAACGAGTCGATAGCAAAGACTCTGGGATACGAAGTCAATAAAATCCATGAGCTTATATAATGACTACTCAAGGCAAAAGGAAGTTTCACGTTTGAATAATTCCTAATATTGTCAAGCTAAATCATCCCATCAGGAAGCTGTCAGGAAATGTCATAGTGACGAAGATTGTTCACACAGATTTCAGACTCAATATTTACATTTACATTTACATTTATTTCCGTTATTCATCTGACATAAACAGAGAAACGGGCCATGATCTGGAACCATTCAGAAGTCGTCACCGTGTTCTGCCAGTCTGCTCCCGCGAACATCTTGAAATCGTCTTCCCACCGCACTCGTGGTCGTCCAACTGATCTGCTTCCACAGGGCTTCCAATTCATCAGCCGCACTTCCCATCGCGTCCTGTCTCTTGTCATTAACTTATTTGCGTAAATCCACTTGCGCTTTCTGGCTTCGATGACAGCGTCATTCAGTTTCAGAGTTCCTATCAGCTGGGTTGAGATGCAATCCACAAGCGTAGAGGTGATTCCAGCACTCGATAAGTGACCGTCATCATTGGATTTGTCTGCACTATGACCGTTCTGGCCAATTCATATATTACGAATCAAGTTAGCTCTGCGCGGATCATAAAGGATCGCAGAAAATTGGAAAAACTATTTAAGGCAGCGATTACGGTAGGTTCTAGGGGGTTTACAGGGGATGTGGAGGTGCTCAATAGTAGGCCAAGGGCGAATAAAGTAGAGAAATTCGTCGAGAAAACGCAAAACAGGACCCATCTGTGTGATGTAAATTTTCTCGGCAGCAGCTAGGATGGCGAGATTATGGACAAATTCACCGCAACGCGTTTGCATTCATTATGCTAACACATGCTTACGTCGAGCTGCTTCCTTCGTCCTGCCAACCATTGCTGGCTCCGTGCCAGCGCTTGATACGGGAAGAACGCTGATCTTAGGCTGGTATCAGAGTCCGCGATCCGTCGCAGGTTTCGCTGATTTCAGCGATTTGCGCGATTTGCGCGACGGGTC